TGAAAATGTTGTAGTGTGAACAATGTTGTGTCTACAGACAGATTGACAGTCATCCCGATTCCAATATAACTTTGTTAAACTTCCTTTCATTGCAAAGGAAAGTAAATCCAGCTGTTTTATTTTAATGTCAAGCTAGACTTACCTTGTTTTTTTTATGGGGCAATCTTTCCGTTCTGAGGTCAGGATTCTTCAAATGTGTGTCATCTTGACAATAGACAGACTTCCCAGCAAAGAAGATAGATGAAGCCTCAAGAAGATTTAGTCATGTCCCAACTAGTTTTGTCCATTCTTTCACAAAGTATTCAAGTCCAGACACAAACAATCCTCCAGCACAAGATTTACAGAGCAGTACAACACACATGGCGGTCCATTGGTCCATCAAGCCCGACCGCACAGGCCTGACGTTCCAATCATGATGCTGTAAAGCCATACTCGTGTCAGATTCATGTCTGTATTTGGAATTAAATGCATTGTCAAAAAAGGGACAGTTCGAAGTTGAGAAATGACTAAACCAACTGAGTTCCAAATATTTCCACTGCTAAGTCATCCATCTAGAGTTAGACTCAACGCATTCNTCCCCTTCAACAACCTGGTCTTATGAAATTGTTCTTGTTTAGCATTGCTTTTGCTCATGCAACCAAAAAAACATTATGATGTGCATTTATAACAAATATAACAGCACTTTGGTTAATTGTTTTTAAAGTTGATTGACCTCAGTCTCATCTGATGTACTGCTATGCAATAGGTAGCCAAAAATAATACTGCTCCCTTTCGACAATGGGAAATTGATAAAGGAAATACGTAAGTGACCTTGACATTTGGCCTCTTAATTTAAGAAATTACAAAAATCACCAAACATATTTTTATGTTTTTTAAATAATAATATGGGGTTTAAAGTTGGTTTTGATACCAGCCTGTGAAGTAGAGAGGGTTTATATATATAGTTGCCTTGTTTAGTCATCCATCAATTTATCCCAAATAAATCTGGATGGAGTGCATTTATGTGAGATAAAATTGTTTGTGTCGATTGGTTTCGTTTCGTTTAGTATTGTTTAACCTTCTAACAACAGCTATGGTCATTGAAGGTAAAAACTAGTGTAAGTCGGGGTACTTGAAACATACAATTTTTTGTCCTTATATATTTCCTTCTCTTTCTTATATATTTTCCAGTTTACTAATAAATATGGGTTCTCGCTGCTAAATATGTGTCGCCTGCTCAGCGCTTTTAGTAAGAAAGGTGTTTTGGCTGGAGTTAACGCGTAAACAAATATGCCAAAACGCAAAAACTCGACAGAAAAGCTCGTAAAAAATGTTTAACATTATTGCTTCTAGTATTACCGTACAAAATTTGAAAGGAATTGATTAAAAAAAATCAAAAAAAAATCTTGCATTTACTACACAATGCCCTTATTTGGCAATAAAAAGGGCATGACTCCACCCAAAAAGGACGTGAACTTCTGAAATGCGAACTTGTCCGAGCTATATTGGTATACAATATGTGTACCAAGTTTGAGTTCAATCAACCGCAGGGAACTCAAGTTATCGCACGGAAACCTTGTTTTGTACGTCGCAACCGACGACGCCGACACAGAAATACCAATATGTCACCGTTGACACAAAAATGGCCCCTGTCATTCAATTATATATTTCCTGTATGCTCGTATTGCACCTCTTTGTGAATACGTAATTTTGTAATGAGATGAACATTATCGCTTTCGTACTAAAAAGTAAAAAAATGAGTGAATGCTCAGTTACGTGATGCAATTATGTGACTCGTATTCTTTAATATATAGTCAATCATAAATGATCTGCAATTACCAGTATGATTTGAGAATAAATGAAGGTTCTTATGTTAATGAATTTAATTAACACAATTAATAGACAATGGTGGCAATAGGATGTTTATGACCAGATGGGATTGTAAATTGATTTGGCATTGAAATTTCAGAGTTTATTTGATAGTGGAAATAAAACCATGATGCTTTTTGTCAGCGAGAACCCATCTTTCAATGAAAAAGTTGATCTTTTCATCTTAACTCTGCACAATAAAGAAATTCTCATACCTTCAGGAAAAGGCACTAATGCTTCAGATGAGTCCAAAGTCGTGGAACCCAACATCGTACTGTGTAAGAGAAATGTATAATGATATATAAACTCAATTTACGCATTGATATCTCAAAACAAAATGATAATTATAAATTTGCCATCGTTGTGAAGGGCAAAAAAGGCAAAAAATAAACTGTAGCAAATATTTCCAGGTATACAGTAAATTATATCTCTAATAACAACAGGTTCCTTGTATCACAATAGATACACGTGTTTTTGGCTGGTGGTGGGGATGGGTTGGGGATAAACAATGCCTTGTAGTATCTATTTAGACCAGCACAATGTTCAGTTATTGAAAGAGCAAGATGAAAGATACCGCAGATAGACAGATAACTGGACAAATGTATGAACATTATTCACAAAATAGGAAATGATTGGAACAAAAGCACCATAAGCAGGTGCACAATACACCACGGTATACCTCATTCAAGCTTTCATGAGTATTAACTTGGTTACCGCATACATCTATTAAGGTAGGTGAAAAACATCCTTCTCAAGTATTGTTAGTATTCAAGACAACAAGTAGAGGAACCTATTAAATGTTGACGAACAAAACCATATTGAAATGAGACCATTTTTTGACCTTCTGCTGTTAATGACATTGACCTTTGACCTTGTGATGTATCAAGACATGTCTTTAAATCAAGGCAGTACAACCATGACTGACTTAATGATACAGGGTGTAACACGGACTATACATCAGTTTGTTAACTGGATAATCAAAGAAGATGGACAATCAGCAAATAGGTGAACAGCAGAGATACCAGCAGAAAAACTTCTAAGAGAAAAATGTGCAAAGATCAACAATCATGTGAAACTGAACAAAAAACATCCCAACATGTAACAAGGTACTAAAGAGAAATTGCGGACAAAGATCCATAGAGATAATAAAGGGTCATAACAACGCTGGTGAAATTAACACACCTTAGACTCGATTTCCCCAATATGCGCTATCAAGATGCACAAGTAAGTTTGGTTAACATAAGTGAAAAAGACAAGTGTTAACAATGAAAATGGTCCCCCTAGATTACCTCTAAATCACTTACAAATGTGAAGCTTATTAATTTATCAGCTAAACAAGATATTGGGCTAGCATGAGTGCAGAATCTGAGTTTGAGCTTGACAACGGATTCATTAATACTGATATTCGCCAAGGTCTTGTATTCATGAAACTGTTATCATGCTAAAGCGCCGTGTCAATTCTCTGCTTACACGAATTGTCTTATCACTTGCTTAAATCATTTGACATGGCAAAACAGTAAAGGCTATTTATTGAATTTTTCATCAATATATCAGGAACCTAAATATTATTTTTAAATGAGCAGGAGCACACAATCTGAGTTTGAGCATGAAAATGGTTTCATAAATCCAGGCCCTAAGAGCAAAATTTATTCTAATAACTTCATAGTCTTGATAGTTTCAAGGCATTATTATTTTTTATTGATCTATAAAAAACACATACATCTAAAGTCAGGTTAATTCAATTTGATATTGCTTACCTTGCCTAACGGAATTTCCCCGCTCTACGGCGACATAGACCTGCCACTATGTCACACCCTTGGGCCCTTAGCACGGCCCTTTTGACTGCCTCCACACTGTGGCTAAAGGAAGAAATGAACTGCATTAAAAATTAAAATCATAAAATGTCTGTCTTTTAAAGCTCTATTGAAACAAAAAGACTACTTGTCAAAACGGTAACACAAGTGTCAAAATTAGGTTGGATAAAAATTGGTATGTAAAATCATCAACAGACTGTAATTGAAGCAAAAACAGAAAATTTAAATAACAACATGTCAAAATGTCATTTTCACCCTTTTTAACATTGTTATTTACCTCAGTGTGAAGAAAGTCAAACCAACACGAAACATGGCAGTGTCTCAGTGCCACCTCCAGGCACGTCCCCCGTGTCCTTCATGAAAGAAAATTAAGATAAACATGAGATTTTTTTTCTTATGAGAGCAACTACTATATAGATAAGATTAAATACTCAGGTCTGAACTGAATATGATGACCAATTTTGATGGAAATTATTATCAAAATTTTAGCTACATTCAAGGTCAACATTCAAGAGAATAGAAATTAACTGCAATGAACATTTTACTTCCTCATTTTCATAATGAATTCCAAGAGTGTCAATTACCTTCTATGGACCGGGGGCATATGGAAAGAGATCGGGATGAAGGCGTCGATCTCTGCGCCTTGAACGGCGCCTCCTCCGGGAAAGGTCGGGAAGGCGACGACCTCCTCTAAAAATACACAACAATATACTTGATTATGTTATGCTCGATGAACAGGTACTTCATGGAATGAACTGTTTGGTAGCACTGGTCTACATTTAATCAATTTTAATAATTTTGGATGCATTTATCTGAATTTTTTTATTTTTAATATACAAATGTATACACTTTACTAAGCAGACAGTAACTAAGCTGAATACATAGTACATTTCTACTTTTGAAGACCAGATGTATAGTATATATTACCTTTATTGAATCTTTTTTTGTGGGGATAATTATGTGCAACTAATAGTTTGTATTTTCTCAATGTTACCAAGAGCAAGGTTTACATGTAGCCATCATTGATATGTTAATATTGATATAGAAAATGTTTGTAAAATATACATATGGCAATTTGATGGAAATGGAGCTAACCAAATTTAATGTATATAAAGTCAATATGTTTATACAATTATTAAAAAACTGTTTTCATGCAATTATTTACCATCCTCTGGAGGCTGGCAGGCCATCCTATATTCCGTCAGTCAGATATTCTGGACCAGATGACCTTTACCCTAATCAGACTTTCCGACCCAAAAATAGTTTTATTCTCGTTCAGCCGCACTCATCCATCCAGTCACAAGAGAATTTAACCCCAGCTCGGAAACAGCGAATATGAAGCACTTGACTCAGTATGATTACATGTTCCCCTCAGGACTATCACGGAGGGGTACATGATATCGGATCCCCACATATAACCATAAAGGTCCTTGTACCTCAATAAAGGTGTTCGCCAGGGTTAAAAACTTTGTTAAAGGAGTGAATAATGCAGCTGAAATGTCATAAATCTATCAAGCTTCAGATACCCCAGACGCCAAATCACCCAACTAGAGCTCAGACAACCTTCCTAGATATATCTGACCAGGGTTCTGTCCACTTACAGCAAGACAGTCCTGTAAAAAAAAAACATATAAGAATAATTTGGGTAAATTTTACATCAATTGGTAGAAGGAAATGAAGAAGCTGTAAATTTTCTTTGTAGTCTTTTGCTGGTTTTCCCCTACTGGGCCGAAACCTCCCAGTCCATCTGTAACATCCCAGATATAGCAATGGTGTAAATTTGGTCAAGTTTTGAGTAAAATCTTTTAAGATACCATAGATAACACACAGCTAAATGCAAAGACATTAATGAGGATGCATTAACGGCTGCTGGACCAGGAAATGTAAGTCACATTTCATTAAATATTTTGCTCCAAAAATATGAAACTAATTGCATTTGAAAATGAACTAATTATCTGAATTATTATTTCACAGTTCACAGCCCCATGAGACGAACACATAAACTCATACTCAAAAAGTAGGGGATGGGCTAATAACAGGACAATTTAATTACCATAGACATGGGTAGTGGGGTTATTGCCAGATAAAAATGGTATCTCCTGCATACCCCTATAGGGAGCTACCCTTTTTATCAATAAGAATAAAATCGAACTGTGTTTAATTTAACCCATTCATAATCTTTATTTCCCTCTGTCCATCTTTTAAAACAATTTTCAATTGAGTATGAAATTGATTTTTCAGATAGTAATAGCACATTCTTTTTATGAATTTTCATCTTGTATGCAGATGACATTGCAACAGCTAAATCAAAACTAAATTATCATTCTTAAATAAGAATTTTTTAGATGATATATTGTAAGGAAAAAGCTTAAGAAGGACAGAAAAGTGGCTCTACAAATATCAATATGAGTAAACTAATGGTGAAACCAGTGTTTCATTTACGTTGGTTTCTATTAATACACACCGCAGATATTTTCCCCAATTGACATCAGGGACTTTTTACCCAATTTACCATCAAAAGCAAAGGCAGACAGAACTTTTTTTTAACTAGAATGCCATGTGGCCTTGCCTGACCGTAACCCCCTCCCCTCCAGTTCATTTTAGTTACAGTAACCTTGACCTTAATAACCCCTATTGCACATCTTCCTTACATTACATTAGGTATACGATACACAATGGATTAACAGGGTAAGAGAAAAGCCCCATGTTTGGTAACTCAAGAATCTTCCCTCATCAACCCACAATTTTACCGGTGCGAGATATGCTTGTCACACCCTAGGGTTGTGACAAGAAGCTAAAATGTAGTGTTTATGTTACAAACTTAACGCTTTTTTGATATGATGTTGATGCATTGTTGACGTGAGGTCATTGTATTGTTGACTTGATGTCATTGTATTGTTGACATGATGTCATAAAATTGTTATGAATATGGGAAAACCACTAACATCACTGATCACAAGTAGCCCTAGCTATCCCCAGGAGAGCAAGAGAGAAATTTATCAAATATCATTAACAATATGCACAGTTACAATTTTTTTTTAAATAACTACACCGAAACAAAACATTTTGTCTTCGCTGTAAATTTGTGATGTCATTATATAGTCCGTTGTGACGTCACAATAATGATTATTTTAACATACGGTGTGACATCAAGTCAACGATACAATGACATCTCGTCAACAATACAATGACGTCACGTCAACAATACATCAACATCACATGAAAAAAGCGTTAAGATTGTAACATTAATATTACATTATTTTGTATATGATACACAATGAGGGAACAGGGTAAGAGGAAAAGAATAATTCGCTCCCTTGAGGTGAGATTGGGAATCTCGACCCTTGAGGAAATATTCCTTAAAGTTGCTAAACACATGACAATACTCATGTTTGTCAACTGAAGAATCTTTCCTCTCGGGTTGAGATTCCCTTATCTCACGCCTAAGGAGGTCAGGGATCCTATTAGTCTTTTAGATTCGAAGATTAGGACTGTACCTTCCACACTATTTTAAGTATCAGTGACCTTGACTGTAGAAATATTTTTAACGCCTATTGCACAACTACATTTTTCAGTTCATCACCATGTACAATTTCAGAGAGATTGATCAAGTGTTGATGAACAGACAGATGGACACTGTGAATAGGCATGCCCTAATTAATCAATATTTATTTATTTGAAATAACACAAAATTGTTTACTAAATTATTCAACAAAAGACAATTGCAATAGATCACACAAGACAGATAACCTAATAATGTGCAAGTATCTCGTATCGTAAATTGATTTGGTATATATTAATGGAATAAATAACCTTTACATATTTTGATGTAAAAGAAATATTTCTAAAAATATTAAGTCGTGAACACAATGAAGCACAAACATGTAATTTAACCCTTGATTCGCACGGATGCTTGAATAGTACCACAGATTAATTAACACATACATGTACAGACAAGTGAATGAAATAAGGCAACTAATTGTGAATTTGCTCATGATTTTCGGGACACATATTGAAATTGAATTTTCATAAAACACTTATTAACACAAATAATTGTGGTATATAACTGCAACATGTTAATCAGTGAGAATGAATTGAACTTCTTCATATAGACAGGATACATACAGCTTTATGAAATACAGCAATGTAAGTTGATAAATAGCGAACATATTTACCTGTCGGTCTGGGGTAGTTCGCTTGCGACATTGGTCACAGGTCGGCTGAAACCTAATGTCCATCCTGTAAATAAAAATAATATGCATGCATTATTATCTCCCTTGAAATGTGAGCAAAATCTTAACAGTTGGTAATTACACTTGAAAATGACTCAAACCATGAAATCAAATTTAAATATGACATCATCAATCATATTTTTTTTCATATTGAAACATGTATATTTATATATACATACCAGAACCGCTGACGGAATTTCCACGCTGTTCTCATGGACGACGCTGTAAAGAAGAACGAAAAGATTAAAACTCTTTTGGTGAATGGGGCCTTTGACTTTGGAATTAGAAAATTTGTGTACGTTACAGTTGACCAAATAATCGGCGTGTTTCCCAAATTATACTGAAAATTTAATATTTCTCAATAACAAAGTATCATCCTTAAGATCGAGTATCCTTATTTATGAAAAAGTATTTCATTTTAGAAGTAAATTATAAGATAGAATTTGTTTATTAATTAATTAAAATGAGAAATTTTAAAGAGATTCTGTGGAAAATAATGCACTATTTTCTAAATGGGATATGGACCCGAATTCAGCTGTAAAACAGACTCTGGACAACAAGAAATGTTATGTCAGGGGAAAAATAATCAGAATTGCAAAGGGCTATAACTTTAGTAACAAGAGGCCCATGGGCCTTAACGGTCACCTGATATATCTATAAAGAGAGTTGATTTTGTTTTTAACACGAACAGAAATATTATTCAAAGAAATAAAAAACAATAAAACCATCTTATTCAATATCTAGCATATATATTTAAGACTAAAAAGTATTTGAAACTAGCACCTCTGATTCTAAACAAGGAAAATAAAGAAATCTCAGCACACCGACTCCTTTGGGCCCCATCCTACAGTCCTTAGGGGTAGGGCTGGCTCAAATTTTTCAAAGTATCAAACTGTCAACTCAGGGTTATAATTCCAATCAAGTTATTAATATGTAATATTCAAAGTATCATTTGCCATCATAAACCGTAACAAATTTTGCCCCCCCCCCTCCTTCCCCAGGGAGTAAACGTGAGACCCTAGGGTCATAAACCTTAGGACCCTTCCATCTATGAAGAGTGTTTGATTCTACCATATCTGGGTCTTTAAGAAGATTTTTGAAATTTTTGGCCCCACCCATCAGCCCCGGGGGGTCAGTCAGGGCTCATATGTGCATACCATCAAACTGCTATCCAAAACTGATAATGCTTACCTAAATTGAATTACTTCCAATGGAAATTTAACAAATGTTAGTCTAAAATGTGATTTCCCAATATAAACTATAGTAAAGTTTACCCCCTCCCCAGGGGGAAACATGAGATCCAAGGGTCTTGAAATTCACAATTTTGGTAGAGCACCTTAAGACCCTTCCATCTATGAGGAGTTTTTGATTCTACCATATCTGGGTCTTTAAGAAGATTTTTGAAATTTCAGTCAATTCGACCCTTTTTGGCCCCACCCATCAGTCCCTGGGGGTCAGTCAGGGCTCATATATGCATACTATCAAGCTGCTACCTAATACTGATAATGCTAAACTAAATTGAACTACTTCCAATGGAAATTAAACAAATGTTTGTCCAAAATGTGATTTCCCTATATAAACTAAAGTTAAGTTTACCCCCTCCCCAAGGGGAAACGCGAGACCCTAGGGTCATGAAATTCACAATTTTGGTAAGGCACCTGAAGACCCTTCCATCTATGAAGAGTATTTGATTCTACCATATCTTGGTCTTGAGAAGAAGATTTATGAAATTTCAGTCAATTCGACCCTTTTTCGCCCCACCCATCAGTCCCTGGGGGTCAGTCAGGGCTCATATATGCACACTATCAAACTGCTACCTAATACTGATAATGCTAACCTAAATTGAATTACCTCCAATGGCAATTAAACAAATGTTAGTCCAAAATGTGATTTCCCTATATAAACTATAGTAAAGTCTACCCCCTCCCCAGGGGGAAACGTGAGACCCAAGGATCATGAAATTCACAATTTTGGTAAGGCACCTTAAGACCCTTCCATCTATGAAGAGTATTTGATTCTACCATATCCGGGTCTTGAGAAGAAGACTTTTGAAATTTTAGTCAATTTGACCCTTTTTGGTCCCGCCCCTCCCTGGGGGCTGAGGAACAATTCGGCGACTGTTTTTGTTGACCTTTGGCCATGGAAGGTTTCTGCAAAATTTCATTAAATTTGGTTCAGGGGTTTTGGAGAAGATGTCGAAAATGTAAATTGTTTACGGACGCACACCGGACAAAAGGCGATCGCAATAGGTCACTTGAGACTTTGTCTCAGGTGAGCTAAAAATTGACATTTCCACTGCACAGAGCCTAAATGTTTCTATTAGGCCCAATGTATGTTGTTTCCGTATAACATACATTGGGCCATTGTGACGTCGCTACGCTTATGACGTCATAACTGTAACGTTGGAGATTACACTGCTCCACTGTCAACTGGTAGCTGTTCTTTGTATGGATTTACCCTGACGTTGAAACGTGTTCAGACTAATATTATGTCTTTATTTCTGCGTGAACTGTAAGTTGATTAACACAAAATATAAATATAAGTATTGGTTGTCATATTTTTGACATTCATTAGTGTGTAACATACATTGGCTAGCGCCCACCATTCAATATGTAGGTAAGCCAATGTATGTTACACACCAATGCATGTCAAAAATATGACAACCAATCCTTAAGAACTTGACGTATATCCAGGATGACAGGGGCCAAATATGTGTAAATTCTTAAAACAATTTCTTCTGGATAACAAGGAGGCATAGGGTGTTGATATATGGCCTGTAACGTACTGGGATAAAGGGCTACCAAGTCTGTTCTAATTAATGACCTTATATTCAAGGTCACAGGGGTCAAATATTTTTAAACTACTAAAGGACTTCTTCTGGAATTACTTTTTTTTCCCAATAGGTCACCTCACATGACCTATTCTATGTCATGCTTTTTTATATGTGAACTTTAAACAAAGTCAATATCTTCAAAATTACTTAAATTAATTTGGTGTGCAGATGCAATATAGCTTTCACATTTGTTTAATATATGCCCACACCTGCAACAATGTTAGACGGGTATATTGGAATTATCTTGTCTCGGTGTTGTCAGTGAACACTATTTGTCCAGACAAGAACTCCTATCATTATTGATCAATTTTAATAAAACTTCACACTCATATGTATATTATTTACCCCATGAAGTTGTGCACCTGCGTATTATGGTTTTATTCAGACCACTTTTTACAGTGTTATGCCCTTTTGTTAAAACCATGACAATTTTTTTTGGACAAGTACTCCATTAATTATTTCGTTTCCAGATTATATCTAGGATACAATTTGATGTAGAATCATCAGTGTTTATGTGTGGATACATCGTGGGTAGATTCTGTGTCACGTATGAAAAGTAGATCACTGTGACCTATATTTTGACCTCTGCTCATAATAAAGTGAAAACTGTTTCCGGAGTATTTAAAGTGGGATCTGACATCAAACTATCTTGGGAAGTTGGAACATTTTCTTAAATCAGGATGTTGAATTTTTGAATAAATCTGTATGGATGATTTTCTGTTATTCATGAGTTTATATGGAATAAATCAATCAATCTATTGAACAGAAACTACGAACATTTATCTCTCCTTGACGTTCCCGCCATGAGATGTACATAACAGATTCGGGTATTTGTTTGTTTGTACATTAAATCAATAACAAAATAGATAGAGCTAATATATATACATTTTATTGCTGTTTCAAAGAACACTTTATTCAATGATGGCAAAGTATCTAACATCGATATTCTTATTATACAACTGTACATTTATGCAAACCAATCGATTCATCATAGTATACTGGTACTCCAGGGATCAAGTTTGATGGACCTGCAAATGTTAATGCCAGCCTTGAAAGTCTTTGCATTTGTTCGCGATAAAGCCACACGAATATGTACCATTCCGGTTTATCCTGGTCCAACTATTTCTAACGGGATAAACGAAAACGGTCCCGTACTTATATATAGTCATGTGTACGTTCATACCTTATTCCTCAAACTGGTTATCCTGGTTGGAATCGACGTTGAACAAGTTATATCCGTCTTTTCTAAATCTAAATACTGCACACTACACTAAAAGTTTAATGAGATCCTTTTTAAAATTTGTTTTACTTTTTTCAATCTGTCCCAATGCCTTGTATATTTCTCTTTTCGTTTCTTTTTGTTTTTGCTCTTTCTTTGAGTCTGTCACTGCCTGTTTTTTTTTTCTGGTGGTTCGTAACGTGCTGTCGCATCGATGGCCTATCTATCTTCTTTTTGTGGTCGTGTAGGGTCTTAATCGTGTTTATTAATTTAGCAACCTGTAAAACGAGAAGAACAGTGATTAATATGAATTATAATATCTTAAATAAAACCATCAGGAATTTCAAATTTTGAAAATCCCGCGGGTAGAATTTCCCTATCCTACACCCCTGGACATGAAAGAGTCTTTTATTATAAACAGCACATCACTAATTTAAAAAAAAAAAGTGCCTCGACATCCACCCTTCAAGTACAGTATACTTATTTCTAGCTTTAGTACAGAACAGGCAGAAACTTTAAAATTCCGAAGTTGAAAGTGATGTAAATAATATTGACCTTAGTTTCTTTGGGTTCCCTGATAACCACGGCACGTTTCACAGTCTTTTTTGGCCCGTAGTATTTTTGGTGTGTCCTTGAACGGAACATTCTTCTATAGCTCACGAGGAATTGTGAGTGGCCTCTGATGGTACATCTTTCTTTCCATCTGCTGAAATAACAAAGGAACTCTTCATGTACAATATATTTATTTAAGTTTCAGGAGATTCAACATTACCTTTTTACATGAAACAAAAAATTACACCCGTGCTAAAAAAGTTTAAAATAAAGGACTTAATTGAAGTTTTGATGTTTGCCGTGTAAAAATTGACAATGTACATCTTTGAGGCAGATACAATGTTAATAATACTGATCTTGATTTTAAAAATCAATTATTTCATCAATTAATCCATTGAGACATCAATAAGGTTTACACAATTTCCAAACATTTACATAAATATATAATAACAGTTACAATTCGAACAGGTGTTAAATCTCGTTTAATTAACCCTTTCACCACTGTAGACCATAATGGACTCATCCAGATTAATGCATGGTAGAGTCTACTAAAGTTACATAGGGTTGAAAGGGTTAACAAAATTCACAAAACAAAAC